AAGATCTGGAAAAATGGCAGAATAATCTGCTCCTATCCTGCCAGATCGGTTTCACTGTGCTGACAACCTCGGTTGGCATCATGGACCACAAAGGAGCAAGACGAAAATACACAGGAGGGAAAATCCTGGGCTTCTTTTTCTAGGGATTAATACATATGTGGAAATAAAATGCCTCAATGGAAAAACAAGTACTGTGATCCAAACAATGTTTAAAAAAGTAAAATAAAAGTTAAAACAAGAAGGATAATGAGGGAAGGTAAAACAAAAGTAAAAACCTGACTCTATCCATTACACTAATTTTTTTAAGCCCCAAACCAACCTGATTGTAATTACTTAGTCACTTCAACTCTGTTCTTAGAAAACACCCCAGGTTTTGTCAGGCCCTTCATTCTGCCATACCCACCCGCCAAGCCAAAACTTAACCTTGTTCAGAATATGCTTAGGATGCAGATACATCTGGGTTCAAGTACAATCTGAACTTGGACATCTTACTTCACCACTCCAAGCCTATTTCCTCATTGATAAAGTGAGGATTACATCACTTACTTGATATTTGCATAAATGGAGTGCCTGAACAAACATAAGACACAGTTGACCCTCAAACAACATGGGCCTGGAGTCCACTTATACATGGATTTTTTTCAATAAATGTATTTTCTGTACTGTCAATGTACTGTAAATGTATTTTCCCTTCCTTAGGATTTTCTTTCTTTCTTTTTTTTTTTTAAGATTTTATTTATTTACTTGTCAGAGAGAGAGAGGCAGTGCGTGGGAAGACAAGCAGGGGGAGCTGCAGCAGAGGGAGAAGCAAGCTCCCCACTCAGCAAGGAGCCCAATGTGGATGCGGGGCTCGATCCCAGGACCCTGGGATCATGACCTGAGCCGAAGGCAGACGCTTAACCGACTGAGCCACCCAGGCATCCCTCCTTAGGATTTTCTTAATAACCTTTTCTTTTCTCTAGCTTACTTTATTGTAAGAATACAGTATATAATACATATAACATAGAAAATAATGTGTTAACTTTATATTATCTGTAAGGCTTCTGGTCAACAGTGGGCTATTAGTTTTTGAGGAGTAAAAGTTACATGTGGATTTTTGGCTGTGTCGGCACCCCTAACTTCCACATTGTTCAAGGGTCAACTGTATATTAGTTCTATTCTCCTTATCTACTGCCACCCTCTCAATCAACTTCACTTTTTTTTCTATTCCTAATTCACATGGTTACTACAAACTTTCTCTACATATTTAAAATCCCCAATCCCTCATTCTTTGATCTCTCAAGTAGTAACCTTCTTGCCAATGTTCTTCAAAAGATGGCTATCATCAAACACAAGTATCCTCTTTGAATTATGTGAATACTAGTCCAGAGTAAATCCTGCAAAAGAGACCCACTCCATCCTCTGAATCACTGAAACATTAGTTGAGCTATTCATTCAAACTTAATCGATATTTTTTACCATTGCTATATTGATATGCTCTGGTTCCCAGGTTAATAAAACCCGAAACAAAAGTATTATATCTTTGGAGTTCCTTACATATTCAACACCTATTGAGTAATATGTACTCAATAAATGGCTGATTGTCCAGCTCCCAAAGCCTACTCTAAACATTTAGTTTCCCCACTGCCAAAAGGAAGTAATTCTCAGTTTGCTAAAATGAGAAAGGAAGAATCTTTTTTTGTGTATCAGCTCACATAACTTTTTGCACCATCTCCCAATACTTTCCACTTTACATCTTTGCTTCTCTCATTCAGCCTGTTCACACTGCTTCTATCTACTCAAACGGTACATGTAAATTGAAGGCCAAATTCAAGCATCAAGCATAAAGCCTTCTCAGATGAATCTCACTAGTCTGAACTTCTAACATTTTTAATCTAAACCAACATTTCCAAAAAGTATTCCAAGGAATAGTAACATGCTTAAAACTATTAACACACCATCTAGTAATTTTGTGAATGCTACACATTATATATCTTACTTTTTTTTAAAGTCATTCTAAATATATATTAGCACACTAAAGACTCTGAAAAGTCCTAAAGACCCAAAGATAGTTTAACCTAACATTTCTAAAACTTACATTACTATGGAACATTTATTTTAATGAACAGCAATTAACATTTTGAAGCACATTAGCATTCTCCAAAGTATAATTTGGGATATTCTGGGTTTTGTTTTTGTATGTTTGGAAATTAACTATATTTTTGATGTCTCTTATACTGTTATTAAATCTACAGGGGTGTGAGTGTGTTTGTTTCCCAGAAGTAAACTGGGAAGGTAATGAGGGAATATATATAATGAGGGAAGGTAAAACAAAAGTAAAAACCTGACTCTATCCATTACACTAATTTTTTTAAGCCCCAAACCAACCTGATTGTAATTACTTAGTCACTTCAACTCTGTTCTTAGAAAACACCCCAGGTTTTGTCAGGCCCTTCATTCTGCCATACCCACCCGCCAAGCCAAAACTTAACCTTGTTCAGAATATGCTTAGGATGCAGATACATCTGGGTTCAAGTACAATCTGAACTTGGACATCTTACTTCACCACTCCAAGCCTATTTCCTCATTGATAAAGTGAGGATTACATCACTTACTTGATATTTGCATAAATGGAGTGCCTGACTACTTCTATTATTCTCTTTTATTTCCTACAGCGTCTAGTACATTGTAGATAATCAACAAATATTCACAGAATCACAGATGGTAAATACTGAATTTATTCCACATAGTCACTAACTTCACACTTAACCTCCTTTTCCTAAGGCAGAATTTAGTGCTGCGGGTATATTGGACGTTAAAAGAACTACAAAGAATCAAAATCTATACCAAGACCTTTCAATTGAAAACCTTTCTAAACTGCAGTTAAGTATTTCACAAAAGCAAGCAATCTCTAACATAAAAATCTTTAACTGATGATTTAAACATACATGTAATAGATCACCTACCCTCAATGCAAAACATACATAGGCATGAACACCCCTCAAAAGTAACTTTTCAGATAGTTACTGATTAGCAAAAATGCTTTATGTCCAGAAAAGAGTGACCAAAATAATGAAGAAACCTGCAATTATATAACTAGCTGAAGGAAACTGGGAAGTCCTTGGCAAAAAAAAAAAAAAAAAAATGGTGGAGAAAGAGGCGAAAAGGTTGCTGAAAAGGATTACTTGCATAAAAATGAAGAGAAATGGACCAAAGAACGATTAAAAGTAGAGGAAGGCTGACTTCAGCTCAAAATAAGAACTGTTAATCAGACATGGCAAATGTGGAATAGGCTACTCATAGGAAGTACATTCCCATCACTAGAGATAAAAAAGCACAGACTGGACAATTCACTTGGCAGGAATGTTGGGACAAATTGAATGTCAGATGGGTAGTAGGACTAGAAGCCCCTTAGATTCTTCCAGTGCTATGTCTCTGGGGCCCTAAAATATCCATCTTGCTCCAACTCACTGCAGCACCTGCTCCCACTGACACTGCCAAGGGGAAAGAGGAAAAAAAGATGTGTTCCTGTCATTCTGACTGGGAACTCAGAATACATGCCTTGTGAAAACAAAGCCAGAGAGAGTAAACACAGTTCACAGAAATAGTACCACACTACAGATAAAGTTAGATATATTTTTTACAAATCTAAAAGTCAGTCAACAATGTTTCTGTGGTGAAATGCTTTTCACACTCCAAATTAACTCAAAACAAATTTTTGAAACATAACCTGATCATGACGCCGCTTACCTATATTATCTCCCATGCTATAAGGTTGCAGTTTCACGTATGTTAGCTTTGTTTCCCTAGAGTTTAAGTTCCTTGCAGACAGGAACTATTGTTCATATATTTGAACGCTCACAAAGAGCTTTAGCATGCTTCTTGATTAAGAATTTGTCTACACTAATAGAGTTTAAACTCATCAGAATGTCATGAAATGTTATGATTAACTAGGGACAGAGGACTGTAGTGAGGGCAGACTACTAAAGTTCAAATCCTGCTCAGACTGGCTCCCTGTGTAATCTTGGGTAAATCATTTAACCTGTCCAAGTCTCAGTTTTCCTATCCGCAAAATGGTCAAACTAAGGATTACAGAAAATATTAACACTGAGTTGATTTTATGTTAGGTACTGCAACTCCTCCTTGTCCTGTCAAAATATTCATACGACAAACGTGATAAACAAGTTATATATCTGAAATTATGATAATGAAATGAGAATTTGGCTCTGGGGCAGAAATCGGCTTCTTCCAGAATTCTCCAAAGTATTCAACAGTCAAGTGAGACCAGTGATTTTTCTGCAGCAAAACAATGATATTTTGAACCTGTCAATTAATCGAACTCCTCACACAGCTCAGTTATTTCTTCCTTTAAGAGGCTGTTCGGTTTCTCTCCTTTGCAGTCTGAAGGCAAGCTGCACCTAAGCTCTTCCCCATCTAGAACATGAAACTGACTGACTAGGCCCCGTTCCTCACGCCACCGGAGCACGATAAATCCTTACTGCACTGGCAGTAACATGAGGCAGGCTAGAAATTTCTTTGGGGGAATATATTCAAGGAGCCCCACGAATCCACATCGCACCTGAGACAGTCCAGCCAGAGGCCCCACAAAGAACCGCCCAATCTAACTTAAGTGACAGACGCGCTGCCACCTCATCATTGCCCAATTCATGGTCCTGTCTAATACTCGCCCATGCTTGCGCGGTACAAAATAACCAGCCCTGGCCCCTGACCCTTTCTCTCTATAGGTACCATTTCAATCGCGTATTGGCTCCAACTTCTGCAAAAGCGACAGCGACCCTAACCCACCTGGGACAGATGCTTCGCCTCCAAACGCCAAGGCTAGAGGCCGAGCGCATGCGCATTCCCCAGGCATCGTTCACGTGACTGGAAGTGACTGAAGTTTTAGTTCGCTCGGTATTTGCTTAAAAGGTCTGAAGGGGAATTCCCCCTTTGCGCATGTGCCTACGCCCAGCCTGCTGGGAATTGTAGTTCTGTGGGTAAAGCGCTAGGAGAAACCTAAACTGTGTGGTCCCCGCCCTCTTTCCAGAGGCGTTCCTAAAGGGAGGCGGCGGGCCGATCGCCCAGCGTTTCTGAACCGCTCTCTGCAATGGTGCTGCTGTGGGTGTCGGTTGTCGCAGTCTCGGCGCTGGCAGCACCAGACCCCGGGGCAGGTGGGCAGAGACGAGGAGCTGCTCGGGTTTGGCCCGCTGCACCCAATGTGGTGCTAGTCGTGAGCGACTCCTTCGTAAGTACCGAGAGGCAAGAGAGTGGGCGTCCCGCTCCAGAGTAGCGACCCGCCCCCAGCTTTTCCTGTGCCGCAGGCTTTTGGGAGCAGAATCTGAGAGCCCCATATACACCCCGTACATATAAAACAATCGAGTAAATAAAATGTATCTGATAGCACCTTTGCATTTTTTTTTAATGCTGGGCTCGACCCACTAATTTTATCACTACTAACGCACTTTCAGTCCGTACCCCCGTTTGAGTCTATTGTGGGGAAAAATAACGTTCTGCATCTCCATAAAAGCGTGTTAAGCTTCCCAGTGGTTATTTCCCACTTCAAGTTTACAGGAATTCATGTTTGGGTGAGAAGTGAAGAAAGTTAACATTTTTATTACCCACGTATCTGATAATCCTGTTAGTGCTGATTTAAGTGCGTTAATTGATGTAATTTGATCCACTCCCCCATGTTCCAAGGAAATTGTGTGGGTATGTTGTTGTTTAATCCCAAACTTGAACAGTCTTTGGAACTTTCCCAAGCCTCATCGAAAAGAATACTAGTATCAACATTACCTGAAACTTTTAGTATTATCCGTGATTTAAAAAACTACTGCTTAGACAAATGTTTGGTTATGAGTTACAATACTAGCTTTATCACTGGGTGTTACTGTGGTCACATAGATTGTTGGTGTTAAGCACGTCTGCATCAAAAGAGTGCTTTTAATCACTATGTTCTATTGCCTTTCTCACTGATTAACCTATGATGATTAAAGTTACATAATCTGGATATGCTCATAGGACTTGTTGAGAAAATTATTCAAAGTAATCTTTATGATTCTCTAAATTTAGGGAACAAGCAGTATTGGAGATTAACATGAAAGAGGTTTCTTAGGGAGTGCTCCTGAGATCAAAGGGAAAGGAAGAAAGGAGGATTGTGCAAAGAGAGAGAAGTTGAGTTTTGTTCCTATCTCAGTAGAAGCCTCAGCTGACTTTATGGGTAATTTTCAAACTAGTATGATGCTTCAGAACTGTTTTCATTTGGGGTGAGGGGCTAGGCCTTTATACCCTCATGTTGGATGGCCATTAGTTGTGTGCTGCTCCCAGAAAGGGGCATGATTTCTTGGGCAAGGCAACTCTCATTAGCAGAGGTATTCTTTCATTCCTAAAGGGAACTTGGGTGGTGCATGAAAGCATCCTAGAAACTTCCAAAGATGACTGAAATATTTTAGGTTTTTTTTTTTTTTTCAGTATAGTATGAATACATAGGTTTTTATATATTTGTGTTTAAATCCTTTGCATTCATTATACTTACTGATGTTCAAAATGTCCCATCTTTGATTAGTGAAAGACCCTTCAGGTTGTTCGAGTCCTTTTGACCCATGCCTAATAATCTTCAGCAGTTTACTTTGATAGACTTCCATGTCCAATTTGTGTATTTCCTGTCCTATCTTGTGTTTAGACTATAATTTAGGTGTTCCAGTTTTTCATTGCATTTAGACCTTTCCAATGGACAGATCTAGAAAGTACATATATGAGAAAAAGAAAAAATGAGATCATGTTGATAGTTTCAGCTCAAATTTAAGATTACAAGGTTATTAATTCTTTGATTTTTGTATCTCTTTTATACCAAATATTTTGGTCCCTAACTACATTAACATGATCGTTTGGTTTCTTTATCCAAATATATATGACATATGTATATTTATACATGTAATATTTTATACATATTAGGATAAATATATAGTATATAAATATAATACATATATATATAAATATATATATTCATATATGAATATATATATTCATATATAAATATAAATATATATATTCATATATAAATATATATATATATATAAATTTAGAGCCCCAATCGCCCTTGCTCTAGCTCACTAGTAGGGGAAAGGTTCAATGCCAGGAAAGACAAATCGAAAGACCAGACAAGCTTCTGCAAAGCAAGCAGAAAGAAGGAAATAATAAGGGTTAGAGCAGAAACTAATACCAATACCAATGTGCATTTTCTGGCCTTATTTTAGGTAGCCTCTCAACACAGCTGACATTACCTTTCTTGACACACTGTTTTCTCTCAGCATTCATGGGGCTCGATCTCATATCATCTTTCTCCCTTGCTGGCCATTCTTTCTTAGTTTCCCTTGACACCTTCTACTCTTATTTGGGACTCCTTGAATTCCTTTCCTTCCTCCCTTTTCATTCTCTGCATGAAAGGTTTCTTTCAATATCATAGTTTTCAATACCATGAATATGCTAAAGACCCCCATTTTTATTTCACCAGGGTAGACTTTCCAAGCTCCAGATTGCTGTCTGTAATCAACAGCCTACTTTATATATCCATTTGGAAATCTCAGACATATCAAAGGTTTATGTATATCCCACATTTGGATTAACTCATTTTTAAGACTGTATTTTTGTTTATAATTTACTGAAAATATAGAATAGATATAACTCCAGGCCTAAAATACTCTTTTTCTGTCTTTGCTCTTTACCAAGAAGAGTTCTTCAGTTCCAAAATGCGTATCTCCAGCCCAAACACCTCTTCTAATCTTCAGGCTCATTTATCCAGCAGCTACTGACATCTTCACTTATGTCCAGCCTAAAGAACTGCTGGATCTTTCTTACTCTTTAGGTCTCATACTTCCCAGAGAAGCTTTCTCTGTTCACTCTATGTAAAGTACGTCTCCCTTGTTATTCTGTATCTCAGGGTTTTTTTCAAAGCACATATCACAATCTGTAATTATTAATGCTTTATTTTCCAGTATACTTTTTGCCTCTCCCACTAAACTATAAGCTTCAAGGGGCCAGGGACTCTGTTTTTCTCACCACTGAATTTCTGGATCTTTCACAGTCCCTGGCACATAGTAAATGCTTAATAAATATTTGTTCCATCAGTTCATCATGCCCCAAAAGAACTTTCCATAAAGTCCTTTAGTTTATTTACTATATTCAAATGAACCCAAGTACAACACTAAATTCTTAATATTATGAGGCAGATATAGGTAATACTCTCTATACTTGTTTTATCTTTTGAGGATCCTTAGGATCATACTGAAGTTTTTTGCTACTTGTAAATTTTATGGTTAAAATTAAAGGAAATAATTTTCTTCTTTTCTAATGCAATCAGTGTTAATTAAATTTCTTTATTCCAGGATGGAAGGCTAACATTTTATCCAGGAAGTCAGGTAGTGAAACTTCCTTTTATCAACTTCATGAAAGCACATGGCACTTCCTTTCTGAATGCCTACACAAACTCTCCAATATGTTGCCCATCACGTGCAGGTAAGAACATGCTTAATAATAATGGAAGTGGCCACACACACAAAAATGTTCTCACAGTTTAGACGGTTATACCCAAAAGTACGATAGTAAGTTATATTTGTCATCTAATAAAAAATTTTAATATAAGTGATGCGTATTTTAAGGTATGTATTGGGGTTACTGGAATTTCTACTTTATTTTTCAAGAGTAGGAATTTTTATCATCCAAAGTAGTGTTTAGTTCATGTGTTACTGTTTCATTTCCTTATGATTGGTGACTAAGAATCTTTTGCCTATCCAAGCAAATGAGGAAATACTCATATTTCCTAGAAGAGTTGTATCTTCAAGAAAATTTTCAGTAAGCGTAGTGGGGACTGGGAGGGGACTTCAGAGCCTACCACAAAGTAGTTAGAATTTTCATACGTCAGGTTACTCTGAATTTTTCCATATTATTTCAGATTACAGACTTTATTTGTTTCTCTTCAGTCTCAATTCACTTCTATCCCAAATCTAGTTGTGCACCTTTTTTAGAGTAATTTAATAGGCATAGTTTTAATGGCAAAATGTCAACAGTATTAGTCCATGAATAATTGAGAAGTAGGGGGAAATGCCATTTTTTCAATAAACTGTTCTCTGACAGAGTTGTTTTCCTTCCTGCCTTTCTACCATTTGTTTGCCTTGGGATGCATAAAAGGCACCTCTGTTAGGACATACGTGACATGATCTGTGTGATTTGAGTCCCAAATCCCTGCACCGCCAGCACAATCACCTATGTAACTGCCAGTGAGTAAAGGAAACCCACTACGCTAAATGACATTTCAGTGATGAAGACCCAGGGATATTAAAACAGTTGTGTTACAGTGGTACCATGAGGTCAGGGCATTATACTGCCTATGCCAAGACCAGAGCTGCGAATAGTCATCTCTCTAATCTCGTTCTCCATGGTGATACTCCACAAGATTTCGAAATGCAGTCAGCCAAAGGGCAGTGGTTTCACATCAGTGATACACATGTGCAAGCTGTGCCTACAGCCAAAGTACTGAACTCACAAGCGTACCTCCTGTTTTATGAGAGAGTATTGTAATAGTTTCAAAGAGTGCTTTCTCGGCTTTTAAAATGGCTGTAATTAATAATAATAATAATAAAGAAGTAAAGACTAACTGTAAAATCATGTTCACTTAAAATTAAACACATGCCAGAAGAAATCATGTTTATTAAAATATTGAAGGGAAAATACCTAAAAATTTACAATGGTTTTGTATTGTCATAGTGGTTTTTATTCTTGCTTCCAGTTCCTGGAAAGGATTCTGAATTCCTTAAGTCCTCTGTGATTAAATATGTCTGGGTGGTGGGTTATAACATCAATAAACTGACTTACCCCCCCCCCAAAAAAAAAAAAAAACAGTTGTGTTAGTGTTTTATTCCCTATTGAGCAAATGGAATGAGCAGTGGACTAGAGTGAGGTGTTGTCCTCGACTCTAATCCTCAATGGGCCAAGCAGGTCACTCACTTTCCTTACTTACAGGGTTAGATATTTGTCTCTTCCTTATCTATCTCACAGGGTTGTTCCCAGCATCAAATGAAATAATGAATAAAAAGGTGATTAATAAATTCTAAAGGTTTCAAAAATGTTAGTGATGGTTTTCCTAGAAGAACTGTATTTTGAAGAGTTTGAACTCTTCAAGGAATAATAGTAATACAAACTGATGTTTGTTTCATTCTTACCCTGTGCCTGGCAATATTCTAAGTGCCTTACATGTCTTAATTTATATAATAATAACATGTCCATAAAGTAGGTATTGTTACTACCCCCATTTTACATATAAAAACAAAAGTACTAAAAGGCTGGGCGCCTGGGTGGCTCAGTTGGTTAAGCGACTGCCTTCGGCTCAGGTCATGATCCTGGAGTCCCAGGATCGAGTCCCGCATCGGGCTCCCTGCTCAGCGGGGAGTCTGCTTCTCCCTCTGACCCTCTCCCTCTCGTGCTCTCTGTCTCTCGTTCTCTCTCTCTCAAATAAATAAACAAAATCTTTAAAAAAAAAAAAAAGTACTAAAAGGTTAAGTAACTTATCAAAGGCCACTCAGTAATTGGCATTATTGGGATTCAAACCCAGGCAGTCCCTCATTCCACTCCTCAAAAAGAAAACATTTTGTTAGATGAGAAAAGAAAGCTTATTCACCCCTACTGTGTGTGTACCCAGAAATGGAAAGGGAAAAGGATTTTTTTCCCAGTTTTATCAAGATAATTGACATATAACATTGTATTCATTTAGGTGTACAATATAATGACATCATATATGTATATACTGTGAAATGATTATCATAATAAGTATAGTTAATATCCATCACCTTTCATAGTTAAAAAAATTTGTCTTGTGATGAGATCTTTTAAGATCTATTCTCTTAGCAACTTTTAAATATATAATCCAGTATCGTTAACTGTAGTTACTATGCTATACATTATATCCCCAGAACTTATTACTGGAAATTTGTACATTTTTGCCACCTTCACCCATTTTCGCCACCTCCCAACCCGCACTTCTGACAATCACAGTCTTTTATGTTTCTATGAGTTCCGTTTTTCTAGATTCCACCAATATGTAAGATCATACACTACTTATTTTTCTCTGACTTCTTTCTCTTAACATAATGCCCACAAGGTCCATCCATGTTGTCAAAAAAGACAGGGTTTCCTTTTTCATGACTAATAATATTTCTCTATGTAAAAAATATGTATGTATGTGTGCGATATATATGTATGTATATGTGCTATATATATATTTTATATATATATAAAATCACATTTATTTATCCATTCATCTATCAATGGACTATTAGGCTGCTTCCATGTCTTGGCTATTGTAAATAGTGCTGCAGTGAACATGGGGATGCAGAGATCTCTTTGAGATAATGATTTGTTTCCTTCGGATATAGCTAGAAGTGGGATTGCTGGACTGTATGACAGTTCTAGTTCTGATTTCTTGAGAAACCTCCATACTGGTTTCCACAGTGGCCTCATCAATTTACATTTCTAATAAGATTGCACAAGGGTTATCTTTTCTCCACATCTTCACCACAACTTACTATCCCTTGTCTTTTTGACAGTCATTCTAACATGAGTGAGGTAATAGCTCACTGTGGCCTTGATTTGCATTTTCCTGATAATTAGTGATACTGAGCATCTTTTCATGTAGCCATTTGACCATTTCTGTGTCTTTGGAAAAATATCTATTCAGTTCCTCTGCCCATTTTTTAATCAGATTTTTTTTGTAGGAGTTCTTTGTATATTTTGGATATTAATTATCAAACTATTTGCAAATAGTTTCTCCCAATCCATAGATTGCTTTTGCATTTTGTTGATGGTTTCCTTTGCTGTGCAGAAGTTTTCAAGTTTGATGTAGGTCTACTTGTTGATTTTACTTGTTTTGCCTTTGCTTTTAGAGTCAAATACAAAAAAAATATTGTCAAGTCTGATATCAAGGAGCTTACCCCGTTTTCTTTTAGTAGTTTCATGGTTCAGGTTTCATGTTCAGTGTTTAAATCCATTTTTAGTTGATTTTCATGTAGGGTATAAGAGAAGGGTCCAGTTTTCCCAACACCAGTTATTGAAGAGCCTATCCTTTCCCCATTATATATTCTTGGCTCCTTTGTTTTACATTAATTAATTGACCATATATGCATGAATTCATTTCTTGGCTCTCTTTTGTTTCATCAAAATATGTGTCTGCTTTTATGCCAAATACCATGCTGTTTTGGTGGTTATATAGTTTTGTAATATAGTTTGAAATCATGAAGGGTGATGCCTCCCATTTTATTCTTTCTCAAGAATGCTTTGGCAATTTGGGTGTTATATATTTTTTCATACAAATTTTAGGATTGTTTGTTCTATTTTGGGGAAAAATGCTGTTGGAATTTTGATAAGGATTGCATTGCATTTGATAAGGTTGCTTTGAGTGGTATGGACATTTTAACAATATCAATTCTTCCTATCCATGAATACAGAATATCTTTCCACCTATTTGTATTTTCTTTAGTTTCTCTTATCAGTGTCTTACAGTTTTTAGATCTTTCCCCTCCTTGGTTAAATTTTTTCTAGGTAATTTATTCTTTTTGATGAAATTATAAATGGGATTCTATTGTTAATTTCTCTGATAGTTTGTTCTTAATATATGTAGAAATGCACTGATTTTTGTATATTGATTTTATATCCTGCAACTTTACTAAATGTGTTGATTAGTTCCAACAGTTTCTTGGTGAAATCTTTAGGGTTTTCTATATATGTCATCTGCAAATAAAGACAGGTTTACTTCTTTCTAATTTGGATACCTTTAATTTCTTCTTCTTGCCTAATTGCTCTATATAGGACTTCTACTACTATGTTAAGTAAAAATTGTGAGAGTGGGCACCCTGGTCTTGTTCCTGATCTTAAGGAAGAGCTTTGAGCTTTTCACCACTAAATATAATGTTAGCTGTGGCTTATCATATATGGCTTTCATTATGTTGAGCTACATTCTTTCTATACCCAGTTTGTTGAGAGTTTTTGTCATGAATGGATGTTCAGTTTTGTCAAAAGCTTTCTCTGCATCTATTGAGATGAGCATGTGATTTTTATGCTTCATTTTGTTAATGTGGTATATCATGTTGATTGATTTGCAGATGTTGAATCATCTTTGTATCCCTGGAGTAAGTCCCAGTTGATCATGGTGTATGGCCCTTTTAATGTATTGTTGAAATCAGTTTGCTAATTTTTTTTTTTTAAAGATTTTATTTATTATTTATTTGAGACAGAGAGAATGAGAGACAGAGAGCATGAGAGGGAGGAGGGTCAGAGGGAGAAGCAGACTCCCTGCCGAGCAGGGAGCCCGATGCGGGACTCGATCCCAGGACTCCAGGATCATGACCTGAGCCGAAGGCAGTCGCTTAACCAACTGAGCCACGCAGGCGCCCTCAGTTTGCTAATATTTTGTTGACAGTTTTACACTATGTTCATCAGGGATATTGGCCTGTCATTTTCTTCTTTTTGGGATATCCTCTTCTGGTTTTGGTATCAGGGTAATGTTGGCCTCAATTAAAATGAGTTTGGAAGTGTTTCTTCCTTTTCTATTTTTTGGAAGAGTTTGGAGAGAGGGATTGGTATTAATTCTTTTATAAATGTTTGGTAGAATGCACCAGTAAAACTTTCTGGTCCTGGGCTTTTCTTTTTTGGGAGGTATTTGAATACTGATTCAATCCTCTTACTCATAATTGGTCTGTTGGATTTTCTATTTCTTCATGATTCAGTCTTGGTAGGTTGTATACTTCTAGGAATATATCCACCTGTAGGTCTTCCAATTTCTTGGCATATAACTGTTCATAGTAGTCTTAAAATTCTTTGTATTTCTGTGTTATCAATTGTAACTCCTCTTTCATTTCTGATTTTTGAATCATCTCTTTTCTTGGTAAGTCTAGCTAAATGTTTGTCTCTTTATCTTTTTTATGTTCCTATTTATTTATTTATTTATTTATTTTGATGTCATGTTCTGTGATTCATTGTTTGCATATAACATCCAGGGCTCCATTCAATACATGCCCTCTTTAATACCCATCACCAGTCACTGTCTCTTTATCTTTTAAAAAAACCAGCTCTTAGTTTTACTGATCCTTTCTATTTTCTTTTTAAGTCTCTATTTATCTTCACTCTAATCTTTGTTATTTCCTTTCTTCTACTAACTTTGGGCTTAGTGGTTGTTTTTCTAGTTTTTAAAGATGTAAAGTTAGGGGACGCCTGGGTGGCTCAGTCGGTTAAGCATCTGACTTCAGCTCAGGTCATGATCCCAGGGTCCTGGGATCGAGTCCTGCATCAGGCTCCTTGCTCAGTGGGGAGTCTGCTTCTCCCTCTGCCTGCCACTCCCCCTGCTTGTGCACTCTCTCTCTGACAGATAAATAAATAAAATCTTAAAAAAAAAAAAAAAGATGTAAAGTTAGGTTTGAGCTCTTTTTTCTTGATGTAGGCGTTTAACTCTATGAACTTAGCCCTTAGAACCACTTTTTCTGCATGCCATTAGTTTTAGTATGTTAAACTTCCATTTTCATTTGTCTCAAGACTTTTTTTTATTTCTCGTTTGATTTCTGCTTTGACCCATTGATGTTCTGTACCATGTTGTTTAATCTCCACATATTTGTGAATTTTCCAGTTCTCCTTGTAAATGACTTCCAGTTTCATACCTTTGTGGTCAGAAAAGATGCTTGATATTTCAGCTTCTTAAATTTATTAGGACTTGTATGATCTGTCCTAGAGAATGTTCTGTGCGCACTTAAGAAGAGTGTATATTCTGTTGCTTTTAGATGGAATGCTCTGTGAGTGTCTGTTAAGTCGCTCTGATCTAACATGTAGTTTTTAAGTTCAGTGTTACTTTATTGATTTTCTGTCTGAATGATCTATCCATTGTTGAATCTGGGGTATTGAAGTCCCCTACTATTATAGTATTGCTGCCTATTTTTCCCTTTGGGTCTGTTAATACATGAAGAAAGATTTATTGGATACAATCATACTTGTAGAAAATAACAGCGAAGGTGTAGTACACTTAAATTTTTTGTGGAAAGCCAGTACAAGAACAACATCCTTAAAGATGTTGGAAAAAGATCTGTACTTCACTTGACTGACCTGGGAAATAAATAAATACTTAGTGATTATTTTTATGATTGAAAGAAGACTCTAGAGTCCAACAGGCTTTATACATAATTCCAGCTGTATTTACCTTAACTTAACCTGTAAGCCTTGAAGACTCACCTGTAAAATGGAAATAGTAACTCCTTGCCAAGTTTTCCCCTTGATAACATGAGGTAACAATCAGAAATGTTAGGTAAAGCACCTAATGCAGGTTATGTCTTACTCCAGAGCATGAGTTCTAAACTAGTAGATTCTTTCTCTTGCTGTAATTGTCTTCATAGTTAAAACAAATCGATAAGCTTTGCACTAATCCCAGTTTCTCCCCCTACCCCCAGCAATGTGGAGTGGCCTCTTCACTCACTTAACAGAATCTTGGAATAACTTTAAGGGCCTAGATCCAAATTATACAACATGGATGGATATCATGGAGAAGCATGGCTACCGAACACAAAAATTTGGAAAACTGGACTACACTTCAGGACATCACTCCATTAGGTAAAAAAGTAAAACAAAATAATGCTAATATGCTACCCTCTGCTATAGTACATACATGCACTCTTTTTTGACTTTTATTATTTCTGCACAAAGGTGAAAGTAAAGCTCTTAATCCCTCAATTGTGTGAATTTGGCTAAAACTTCACCTTTCTTTAATCTTCTTAAAATATTAAGATTGCTAATATGCTGGTAATTTTTGTTTTTATTAAAAATTAAAGGTCTATAAAATTCTTTACTTCAAGTTTTATTTTGAGTTTTGTTATACAATATCTACTATGTACTGAATACAGTTTATATTTTTTAAAGACCATAATCTTCCGTCTGCTTGCTTTTGTCAGTTATCTCCTTTCAGTCTAGTATAGCTTTTTTTTTTTTTTCATTTTACTAAGTCCTCAAAAACCGGGCCGCTGAGCACAGTGGTTAAGAGCAGAGATCTGGGGAATCAGAATACCTACTTGTGAATCTTAGTTTCTCTATTTACTACTGACCTCTAATTTCTTTGTTGTGAGGGTTAAATGGAATGAGATCTGCAGAAAAAAAGCTCACACACAGCAGGTCTGAAACAGCTATCCTTAGAAAGGCCTGCTTTCAAGATTGGCCCTTGGCTTATATCTAGTAACTTGAATATCAGGAGTGTTCCATCTATTCCCTGATAAAAGTGACCTATTCTATACCTAGAATGTACAGTGTGGTTTATGCTGAACACCTGCTTTCCCTCTGAAAGTCTGGGATTTTGGTATGTGGCAGGCAGAGGGCGTCTGCATGATCAGCCCCCAGTAACAACTTGGGTACTAATGAGCTTCCCTAATACACAATTCTTCACATGTATCGTCATGTTTGATGCTGGATGAATTAAGTGCCCTTTGTGTCTCCACTTGGAAACTTGAAAATGGTTTGCTGTGGACTTACCCTAAATACCATTCCCTTTGCTGATTTTGCTTTGTGTCCTTTCACTATAATCATAGCCATGTGTACAACTAAATGCTGAGTCCCATGAGTTCTCTTAGTGAACTTGGGTATGCTCTTGGAGTCTCCCAACACTCAGGACTCCTGTCACAAATACATATTAAAGCCTGGAGCAGTACCTCTTGCCTACAGGTGCTAATTGAGGGTTATGGCAGTAGTAGTCCTGATGATGATGCTGCTAATGATTATGGTAAGAACCAGAAAAATAAATTGAATAAAAATAACAGTGAATGTAGTGAAATGAATAGTGTTCCCCAGAACTTCATGTCCACCTGGAGCTACAGAATGTGACCTTATTTGGAAATAGATCCTTTTTACAGATGCAATTAGTTAAGGGTTCAAGATGAAGTCATGCCAAATTTAAAGTGAGTCCTAAATCCGATAAATAGTGGTCTCTTTAGAAAAAAAAAAAGGACACAGACACACAGAGAGGGCAGTGTGAAGACAGAAGCAGGGATTGGAGTGATCACAGCTACAAACCAAAGAATGTCAGAAGCCAGGGAAAAAGGAAGAATTCTTCCCGAGAGCCTTCAGAGGGAGCATGGCCCAGCCAATACCTTCATTTCCGATTTCTAGTCTCTAGAACCATGAGAGAATAAATTTCTCTTGTTTTAAGCCATCCTGTTTGTAGTAATTTGTTACTACAGTCCTAGGAAACTAATAGAATGAATTTTGGATGAACAGATACTAAAATAATCTAGAATAATCTGGATATTAGCCTTGCTCTTCTGGGTAATGTTAAATTTATTTCCTCTTCTGTCTTCCAAAATCTAAAAGATACCAATCCTGCAAACCCAGAAGGGACCTTCACATCTCCTCCCTGTCTCTGCCTTCTATCCATCCCCAGATGTTGTCAGTTATACTTCTAAAATCTCTCTCCTATTTATTCACTTACCATCTCCACCAAAGCCTCTCCTGTCTAAAATACTGAAGTAGTCCTCTAACTTTTCTTCTATCTGATCCATTTTCTATAGGCAGACAGAGTGATCTTTTAAAAATATTCATCTGATCAAGTGCCTGACCTGCTTAAAATATTTCAGTGGTTTTTTTCCTCTGTAGGTAGGCTAAAATCCCAAGCCCACAACATGGTTTATAAGACCCTACATTATCTAGTCCCTGCATACCTCCTGTCTCATTTCATATCACTCTCTCTCCCCCTCAGTATGCACTTCCTCTTTCATTTATGTCACATGCTTTTCACTAGCTCTGGACCACTGCACAAGCTAGTCTTATGCAAAAAGCTCTTCCCCCATTCTTCCCAGGAATTCAGGAGAAGAAAAGGGTGGAAGTAGAAGTAAACATGGTAGAAGGAGCAGAGGCTTTGAGTCCATCGGAACTGTTAGATGCCCAGCTTCCCCGCTTACCATCCTTGTGACCTTGGGCAAGTTACTTGACTTCTGTGTCAATGTTCTCATTGGAAAACTGGAATTAATAATACCCACCTCAGGGTGCCTGGCTGGCTCGGTCAGTGGAGCATGCAACTCTTGATCTGGGGGTTGTGAGTTTGAGCCCCATGTTGGGTATAGAGATTACTTAAAAATTTTTTTTAAAAATCTTAAAAAAATACCCACATCATTGGATGTTTAGGAGTTTTCAATGAGTTAATAAAAAAGATTAAATAATACGAAGTACTTAACAATGCCTGGCAAAGAATAAGCATTTAATCAAGAGGAAAAATTATTACTGTAAAAATGGCTTAATCAGAGGGCGCCTGGGTGGCTCAGTCGTTAAGCGTCTGCCTTCGGCTCAGGTCATGATCCCAGGGTCCTGGGATCGAGCCCCACATCGGGCTCCCTGCTCCGCGGGAAGCCTGCTTCTCCCTCTCCCACTCCCCCTGCTTGTGTTCCCTCTCTCACTGTGTCTCTCTCTGTCAAATAAATAAATAAAATTAAAAAAAAAATGGCTTAATCAGAATTATAGTTTAATATTTACATGACTCTTTCATTTTCTTTTTTTCTTTCTTTCTTTCTTTTTTTTTTTTTTTTTTTTAGGGAGGGAGGGACAGAGGGAGAGGGAGAGAGAGAATCTTAAGCAGACTCCACCCCGAGAAGGGAGCCTGACGCAGGGCTCGATGTCATGACCCTGAGATCATGACCTGAGCAGAAAGAGTCAGATGCTTAACCAACTGAACCACCCAGGCGCCCAAAACCCTTTATTTTCCTAAAGTGTGTTGCACTGCTAATTATTTCATGCAGTTTCACAAATTCTCTTTAAAATTCTTCTACTTTTTAGAAAGTAAGTTTAATCCAAAGTAAAATGTAACTATTCTTCTTATCCTATCCTATACTATTATCCTGCCCTATGCTATTATCCTATTGTTTTCTCAGCTTCCTCAGCCAATCCAGTAATAAAAAGAATCTCAGGTTGAATGGCTCATACTCCCTGTAGCTGTCATTCTGTGTATGACATGGTTAAAATCTGATCTGAATTTTATTCCTCAGGAGTAAGGACCCTGTTTCTCTTTTTCATCGCTTTATTCCCATTGCCAATATCGTGCCTGCGCACTGTCGGCACAGAATTAAATGTCTGAGTGAATGGGACAGGAAGCTACATTGCTCTAGCTATAGCTTATTATGTGATAAACACTGATGTTCTGTTTAACCTGTGGTTTAAAATCAGTAAAAGGAGAAAAGCCACTTAAATGTTGACATTTGGGACATCAAAGATGATTTTCAGTATAATAATTGCTTATGGCTAATTCTCCTAGCTCACCAGAGCTTAAGAAATTGAAATAAGCTCTCAGGACTGTTTGTATTAGTGCTGTATGTACCCACACCGTCATTTCGCTGACAAATAGGTCAAGTTTGCTACTAATTGCATATCTGGAGAGGTTATATGAATTATGGTACATTATCTTTTAGATTTTTCTGTGCAATTTGAAAAATGGGTCTCAGGAAAAAAATGTACCTCAGTATCAAACTTAATAGGGGTATTCAGTATTTTGATAGACTGACTCTCAAAGTCAGAAGTTGTTTTTATAACTCTTTCTGCTACCTTTTCCACTGAAATTGGCCATTTTTGAACCTGCTTGTATTTTCAGCCAGAATTACAAGTTTCTTTAGCTTATTACAGTAATACTCCATCTGTCTTTTTTGGGTCTGAAGTGATACTCTCTTCTTGTATCGGTTTAAGAACACTAGTCCCGCTATGTGTCCCTTATTTGTATAATATATTGCACTACACTGGGATCCTTAAGGGCTACACACTTGTTTATTCCAGGCAATTGTTAAACAGGTGGTGGTGGTAGTGCTCATTACGATTCTATTTACTATCAGTCTTTGGGCAAGTTATGTATCTACTTAACCCCCCTCACATTGTAGGTGTTATAATAGCTTTGATTAGGTTCAAATTTGCCGTATCTTATTAGCAACTGAAACGAAACATTTGTATTTAATTCACAGGGTATTTTGGTAATTTTTACAATCAGATAAAACTGTTTTGCCAGAATATATGCAATATCGAAAACAGTGGTTCTCAACCAAGGGCAATTTTGATAAGAGCCCCCCACCCCAAGACATCTGACAAGGACTGGGGGAATGCTGCTGACATCCAGAGGGTAGATGCCAGGTTGCTGCTAAACAGTCTACAATGCACAGAACTCCCCCCCCCCCACCATCTGCCTCCACCCTGCAGCAAAGAATTATCAAGCCTAAAATGTCAATAGTGCAGAGATTGAGAAAACATGATCTAAACTAAATATTCTAAATATTTCTAAATCAACAAAACCAAAGAGTATGTTAGTTTGGAAGTGTGTAGAATTAGGAGATATTTTATATAGACATTTTAAAAACTAGATTTCTAAGATCAGCACAATTTAATAAAGAAATTGAGTATTAAGTAATATTCCTTAAAATACTAAAACTGAAGATGATCCTTATTTAAGTTACAAAAGTATAGTCCAGTGTATTTTATTCAGCCAATATTTAATGGAGCCAACTACTATGTACCAGACACTATTTTTAAATGATGGGTCTACAGGAGTGATCAAAACACAAAAATCTCTAAACTCAGGGAACTTACATTCTAGTGGCATC